GGGATCAAACTGGGAACCTTGCACTTGGCCAGGCAGGTACTTATGCTGCTGAGCTATCTCCCAGGTCTAAGAAAAGCTTTCTTGAAGACAGATTCAGGTCTGAATCTTTGCTGAACAAAAAATGAGTGGCACAGCAGATGGAAAGTATAGTGTGTACAAATGTGTGAGGGTGTAAAACAATGTAGATTCTGGAGCCTCTTAGGTACCATAGAAGATGCAGGAAGAGGGTGATTCATAAGCTACCGGTCTGGCTGGGATAGAAGATGCTTATGGGATAGGTGGAGCAACTACAGCAGGTCTGGAATACACAAGAGAAGTCTTTCAGCACAGCACAGGAGAGAGGAACTTGCTCCCTGAGCCTGGGAGAGTCATTTAAAACACTCCCTCACTCCTTACCTCCAGCCCTGCCCTAACACCATATATTTCATAAAATGGAGCTTGGGTTTATTAACTGTAATCTTGTTAATTGTGCCTGTGGCTTGAAATTTAGGTTTCCCAGGCTGAGATTCTCCTGTCCTAGTAGAGCATTCTTCAAATAGCTCATCAGTCTTCCAATTGCCAAAAGCCTGACTCCACAGGCCTCAATATAGCAGGATCAGCTCCTGTTCCTTAATGCCAGTCAAGAAGCCAGGCCATGATGGAGGGCAGGAAAGGGCCACAGATAAAGGATTCAAGAGCTGTGGGTTTTTCTCGAAAAGAGGAACAAAAGCAAGAGCTGGAGCTTTGAATAGCTGGTGGCTTTGTTCCACTGGCAGCATAGTTCAATGCTGGTCCAGTTAATTCCAGTTGATCTCGTATCTCACAGCTCATTCTGCAAGGTCCTGGGAGAGCCATCATCCCCTGATCCCCTGACAGATCATTTTCTCATGGAGAGATGACAGCTTCTGTTTGCAGTGGCACCCACTTAGGGGGTGACCTCATCACAAGATGGTCCGAGAGGCCCTGATTTTTTTGGAATCTTCAGTAACTGCAAGTCTACGACAGTGACTGGGCCCCTAGACATCCTTTCAGGGAAGAAAACAAAAGTATTTCCCCACATTCTTCCCTCCCCGTGTGTCCTGTGGAGCTGGACATTGTAAAAGCTGACAATTAGATGTACTTGAAAATTCTATGTTATTCTTATCTTGGCGTCCAGAGTCTCAAAGAGGCATGAGGGAGGCTCAGATAGTTTAGGGCTAGTAAATGTTGTACTACAGATACTCCTTAAGTGATCAAATGTCAGTGCGCAGAGTAGAGCAGGGATCTGACCCACAGTTGTCAAGGAACAAAGGCAGATATAAAGCCAAGACAGAGATGCCAGGCTTTGTCCTGCTTTTAGTTCCCCACTGGGTCCTTGTCCAAGCACCAGCCTTCCTATTATGACACTGAAAAGTGGCCAAACCAGGGGGAGGATGCAGGCCACAGGCTCTGTCCTCAAGATCATCCGTGGAAAAAAACTTTGAGAATGCCTGGGTTTCCTGGAATGACATGGTTTACTATTCAGTTTGGGGACAGTTTAATATATCCCTTGGCTCTTTTGGTGAGAGTGGGCAGTGGAAGCCACACTACCCATAACAATTCTACGCTTGTCAACTCTGCACTCCGAGGACATAGTCTTCAGATCCAAGTATCAAATCCTCCATCTTCAGAGAGTAGAAAATGTCTGATTGGGGTTGGGCATATCTAGCATCTCCCAGGCGAGTGCAGGAAGCAGGGAAGGAAACAGCACTTCCTCACCTGCTTCCCCCCTGGATCCTGGCCGGAGCAGGAGTGATGGTGAGCTTGCCTGTTTGCAGCGTTTCCTTCCCTTGCTAACCGGGGCCAGGAAGGTCGCAGCCCACGGAGACGGGAAATCCAGCTGAGCAGGAGAGATGGGCCTGCTCATGACGCATATCCTAGCCGTGCCTCTGCCACCCCACCTTCAGGACCTTGGTCAAGTCACCCCCACCCCCACCCCCCACTCCCCCCGCACACTCCTGCGGTCCCTCTTCCCCTCAGGATGAAGATTAGGTGTCACCTGCTCAGACCACTCTCAGTGCCCATCCCATTGACTCGGTTTGCTTCCTTATGGCATCACAGTTGTCACCACACATATCTGTCTTCTCTCGGTGTGTGTATTTTTCAGTATAGTAATGTTTGTAATTTTGCTTATTTGGTTTGTCTCCCCATTAGATGCTAGATTGTAGGCTCCAGGGAGTGACCCTTCCTTCTCAGAACCTAGCACAAGTGAATGAAGAACTCAATGAATGGCAACTGACCCCCATTTACCCCCAGGTTCCTTCCAGATGAATTTTATGAGTCTAAGGTTTCTCCCCTGGAGAACCAAGCCTGGGCCTGTCAGGAAGTCCCCTGGAGGGGGTAGGGGGCAGGGGCGGGATGAGGACTTCGGTGCCTCCCCCAGCACTTGGGCGACTGAGCTCTAGGACTCGCGCAGTTCCCAAGCCTTATCTGGTCTGCCTCCTGGACGGCCAGCGGGGGCGGAGCCGGGACAGGCGACTGGGCGGGTCCCACGCCGGCCGGGGGCGGGGCCAGCGCACCCCGCACCCTGCAGGTTCTCCACGTGGGGTCGGGGCCGGCCGTCGCCTAGCAACGCCCGCCCCGCCCCCGCCAGTCAACGGGCTCCCGCCCCCAGCATGGCTTGGCAGGGCTGGCCCGCGCCCGGGCTTTGGGTCTCTGGCTGCGGACTGCTGCTTCTCGCCTTCGTCCTGCTGCTGAGCCCCCGCGGCTGCCGAGCGCGGCGGGGCCTCCGCGGCCTGCTCATGACGCGCAGCCGGCGGCTGCTTTTCCGAATCGGGTTAGTGCCCGGGCTTGGCCAGGTGGGAGCGCTGCGGGAAGGGACAGGGAGGCGGGGGCGGGGACTGGACTTGGGCAGAGAGGTCCTGGCCAGACCTGAGGGATGGGGAGACGCTGTGGAAGCCGCTGAGCCCGTGGGGCTGAGGAAGCAAAGGAGTTGGAGGGCTGGAGAACCCAGAATTCGGGGAGCTGGCAAAGGGGACCAAGTGGGATCCGTGCCGTGCTGGTCAGGGCTGGGGTCAGCGGGCTCAGCCTCTGTTGGCAGTGGAGGGAGGAGGGCGCTTCGGACCATCTCCCTGGCATGGAAACAGCCC